TTATTCTACGCGCTTTCATGGAACGTACTTTTGCTTGCTTCATCACATTTTTTTCGACGATCGAGTGATTAATCGATGATTCCCACTCTCGATGAGTTGTAATTTATTCTTCCGATATTTAAAAATCACGCATTACGCACGTTATTAGTGACGTAATTAGAAAAAGAGAGGATGGAAGTGATTAAATCGCTCTTTTTATAAAGACGATTATAAACATTATATCAGGAATATACATTTATAAATAGAGAAAAACGTATTCTGCATTCAAGTAAATATTATTTATGTTAAGTATATCATAAGTTTGTATATCCGCAAATATATCACAAGTTCACTACAAGCATTAAATTTCATTGAATATATTCTGAATTGTGCAGTATTTTAGTGAAGAATATTAAATTAAAACAAAAATTTGGCTCGCTTACTACAAGAGTTGACGTAAAGTAAGTTTGATTTTTCTTTGATTTGACAACTTTACAATATTCTTGAAGAGAAAATAAATGCTTCTTTCGAGTACATGATAATGAGATTTTCTAACACTTGTGACGAGTATGTTTTAAGACTATTATCAAGAATATATTCTTTGTTGATGAAAACTATTACTTAAAAAAAGAAAAAAAATGGAGTAATCGCTTTTCTTGACAGTAGAATGACATTTTTCTCCGTGTACGTGATGTAAAATTATTTGAGATTACGGGCAAATATGGTTGTCGCTTCTTTGATCATTATCTCGAATCGATTTGACAGAATTTCTTTACACAATATTTCGCGTGCTTTTTAAATCTAAAATTTTGAAAGCGATAACTTGTAATATTTCATTCTTATTCCCGCGTAATAATGTACATAACAATTCACGACAGAAAACGGAGTAAACGGTGAATCGAGTTTGAGATGATGAATAAAGTGGATGACACGCGAATCTGGGTCGTAATTCTTCACGTATGTTCGATTTTTTTCCTCTTATTAATATTCATGAATATCCGGTTGTCTTACGTCGGATCCGACGTTTGACGTAGGACATTTCTCGTCTTAGCAGCGGCGGACGGTGGCTGATAAAAAGTAGGAACGTCATTATAACGTTACGTGACGGAAGCAGGCAGGTACGCGGATGAATAATGAGAGCGACTCATGCAAAAACAATTGAATTCGCTTAGCTAAGAGCCGCGTCTAAGCGGATAATAAAATCCCGCTTGGGTTCTAATTCGATGAACGTGCGTAAGCGGTGACATCATTTCGCGGTGACTCCACCTCTCTACCTGTATTTATACGACCTCCGGTGTACAGCGTATTAATGACGATACGCTCCCGTGGCCACTCGCGGTCACTCGTGAAAGAGCGAGCCGACAACAGCCGGTGCCTTCGCATAAAATGTCATCATCGCGACACGTAATCCCCGCGAAAGTGTGTAATGGTCCGTCACAACCTTCGCAACGGTTTCTCTCCCGACTCTCAGGATTCCGTGATCGTGATATTTATAGCATTGTGTCAGACGAGTAGACCGCGCCTCGGGACACGATTCAATTACTCGTCCGATACGCGAGGTACCTGAGTCATTTGGACGTCATTGAATCGCGAAATTTATTCAATCGATTTCATATGAATGAGGAAGAGAAAGTGCGCGCGTATAAGCGATTAAAAATACATCAATTTCTCGCGCGAGATATTTAATTTGTCACTTTTGTCCAGCCAGCCCGGGAGATGACGCGATAATTAACCGTGAAAAAAATGACACTTTGAACGATCGGCTTAAAGTCGTGAATCGAAGCGAGTCGAAGAGAATTATATATTTTTTGCGGCGACGAGCCCGGCAGGGATGTTATTTGCTTTTTGGAAATATTTCAAGTCGCGAGATCGCGCTATAAAAGTCGCCCTAAGTCGCATGTATGTACGCGGCTTAAACGCACGCGACGAAACGCAATTATGCGCGCGTGCCAAATGCTTAAGGCTGTACAATTTAATAATAATAAATAAAGCAGCGGCCGCAAATGGAAAATTACTTTTGCTTACGTAATTTGTCGGTTGGATCGATATGTAACAAGTTTTTTTTTTCTTCCTCCCGGATTTACGCGATTTATCTGTAAAGTAGGGCGATATAAATTTCAATAATTTTCATATATCTCCTCTCGCTACAACAGGCCAAGATGTTTATTCCACGGAAGTCTAGAATTCTCAAGAATTTCCTTTGTATTTGGAATAATCATGGAATTCTATCGGGATTCGGGGAATTTTTTTAAAAAATTCTCTCTGATAATTTTGCATTTATATTGTAAGCAGTCGGCAATCAATCGATAGCCCAAATTGTGGCTTACGTGTTAAAAATAATATTATAAATATATACGTAAATAATAATATGAAATTAATAATATTATAAATAAATATCTATTTCTAGATATATTTAATGTTTTAAAAAAATATTAAACATACAGCACATGTGTATATTCATTGATATATATTGAATTTTTAGCGATAAAAAATGGAAATATTAAGAAATAGTGCAGTTGCAAAAACACTCGAAACTTAAATAGCTTTTCCTTCTTATGAAAAACATTAGAAAACGAGGATAATACAATGATAAAGTTTATTTGGTTTTAAAATTACACATTAAAAAGATATTCAAAGTATTCTCTTTACCTAGAATTTCGAAAAGAAATATCTGAAACGATCAGAATTTTCAAGGAATTTTTTTGCAAGATCTGAGTCATCCTGTGGGTGTCTTAGCTTTCACATTTGTTTCCGCATTTTATTCGCTACTATTCCTGATCGTTTATAACGTCGCGTATTATTACAATAGGGACATCGTGCATGCACATTTTGCGTGGCGAGAAAGTGCTCGAGCCTCGTCGACGATATATCGTAAAAGGAAGGAACGCGCGCGATCAGCGTTGATTGTTACCGTTGGTTGAAAATAGCGCGTGCCGGGAATGAAAATTATGTAAACCGTGAGTGTGCGAATCGAACTGCGCGCGTGGCGCGGCGTCGCGACGCCGACGACGCCCGGCGTCTCGACGTCTCCGATTATCTCGCCGTCGATCTTTTATATCGCGGAGAGAAAAAGAAGCTCTTATCGAACAGATTATATTTCTATATCTCGATGTGTATTTAGGTCGCCTCTTTCCTCAGGACGGAATTAATTTCTCCTCCAAGCAGTCTCTTTACATACATATAATACGCACACATACATACATGCGTATATATTTACGTATTTATTCTCCAAAAAATATTGAATTACAGTACATGTGCTTTATTGTAATTTTTTGCGAAAAATATTGACCTCATGAACATTATTCAATTTTTGTTTCAGTACTTGATACATATTTATAATATATATTTATCTATGTAAATAAAGATAGCATAAAACAAATGTATGTTTACGCTTTGGTCGAGAAAAATAGAACGCAGAAATGCTATGGAAAAGCGAGCATACATATTTTTTTCATTCATAGCATTTTTATTTTCAAAACTTAAATGCGCGCACATACATCTGTTTCGCTTTAAATGCGAAAAGTGATGACGGAAAAGTGCAATTAAGAATTAACAGGTTTAAGACGTAACAAGTTTAATGAAATGAATGAATCCACAATTCGCGCGAGAAAAAAAGAAGGGATTAAACAAAGAGAGAAAGAGAGAGAAGTTACGCTCGCACTCTACTAGAGGGCAACACGAATTGATTATTATTTCGCTAATGGCTCATTTCATTAAATACTCTTTTCCATGGCGGTGAAGAATCTAGCCTCGCACCTTGCCAGATCGCTCTGTTTATAAAGGCGATAAAGTTTCTCTCTCTCTCTCTCTCCTTCCGCATACGTCATTCGCTGACGGGAAATCATGAAGTTTTGACGGGTAACGAACCATAAGACCGAGTAGGTACATCCGGTCGATTTCATCGAAAATCGTCGCCCTTTCGTGCACGAACCAATACGAAAAAGAGAATCGTCGAAAGGTAAAAAGACATCTGTTTGTCTCTCTGTCTCGCTCCCCTTCCTTCTGTTCGATGCGCAGTTATTTTTAGAGCAGCGTGTTTGTATTCTTTTATCGAGCGAGCGCGAGTGACAGCTCGCGGCGTCGTGTTATTTTCCGTTGGTCGGGGCGGCCGTGTTCGCGGCTTGGCGAAAAACCTCCGCCAACTTCACCCCGTCCCCGCGAGCTCCGCGCAAATGTTCACGCCGTCAGTCGAGCAGTGGCCCGAGCCGCCCGCTGCTCTCATAACCTCAAATCCGGGCGGCGCTTCGGCTTGCGCATTCCTCGCTCTTGGACCAGGAACGGGATCGAGTGAACTCTCTTTCCTTCAACTAATCGCGGATTCGATGCTCCTCGATCTCTCGCTTCGATCGCCGGGGACTCTTCGTGATACACGGACATCCGGAGAGTCGTTTGCTCGGGCGCCGGGTTAAAGGAGTTTGACATTTAACGCGAAGCGCCGCGGAGGGTCGACATGATACGTGCATGTGTATGTGTATTATATGCGTATGTATGTGGGGTAGAAACCAGCACGGTGGAGCGATGTTGCTCCTTTCGACGTCGCTGCACATCCCGGAATCAATAATCGCGTTGCATAAGCGACGAGAACGAGAGCCGCGTATCCTACCTTGTCATTGTCCTCGGATATTCGTTTCGCATCGTGATACGCGGTTGCGCCGATATCGATTTTGTCCGCGTTTTGATTCCGGAGCCCCGCCGATCGACGAGACCCGTCTCGTGCGTTTCGCGCGACTGTCGTTGGACAATGCGCGCTCCACGCCTTAGCACGGTAATCTCAAGGATTTTCATTCTTTTCCTCAAATCTGTTATGTTTTACAGTTATATAATTTCCATTAGATAACAGTATGGCGATAATTTGATTATTCAATAATAAATAGAAATGCGTGTGTGGAACCTGCTAGTGTATAGATACAACTATTATATATTTGTATTTAAAACTTGCAAAACTGCTATATATTTGTATTTAAAGCTTATGACAGTTTGCAAACTTTGCCTCTAAACAATCTCTCTCTATTATCTTTCAGCTGTTGGTCCTCCATTCGTTTGGAGGCCAGTGGAGCAGCGACGCCAGAAAATAATACGAGCTGTGGTAGCCTTGTGGAAGCGTAACTGTAGTTGGCTTCGGCCAACAGAGGCGACAGAGATATCATGGCGACGATAGACGGCCGGCCGGCCCAATATGGTGTCACGCTTAAGCAACTCCGCGAACTCATGGAGTTGCGGGGGCGCGAAGGTGTCAATAAAATCAATGGCTACGGTGGTGTGCAGGAGATTTGTAAAAAGCTGTATACTTCACCTAATGAAGGTAACATTTTCCTCTCAACGTATCAAAATTTCAAATTACAAGTGGAAAAGAAAACATATGGAAAAGAAAACAATTTTGATATGAAAGGAATACGATGTAACAGATATGTACATGTATATCATGATTCTCGTATCCATATAGGTCTTAGTGGATCAGTAGCAGACATACAACATAGGCGAGATACATTTGGTTCCAATATGATACCTCCAAAACCACCAAAAACATTTTTACAGTTAGTATGGGAAGCATTGCAAGATGTCACGTTAATCATCTTAGAAGTAGCAGCATTGGTTTCATTAGGTCTTAGCTTTTATCATCCAGCTGATGATGAAAAACGTAAGTATAATTTACATGATATGATATTGTGTACTTAATGAATGATTTCTTGTTAATAAGAAGAAATGTCGGACATTTCTATATGTTTAAAATCTTTCAACATTTATAAGATAAATTTTGTTAATCAATTTTAAAGATTCTGAGAATAACGTGTTCTTTCCACTTATTTTCAGCTTTAGTAGATGACGACGAAGCGAAATATGGTTGGATTGAAGGACTCGCTATATTAATTTCTGTAATTGTGGTGGTCATAGTGACTGCGTTTAATGACTACTCCAAGGAGAGACAATTTAGAGGTCTTCAAAGTCGGATAGAGGGAGAACACAAGTTCTCAGTTATACGGCAAGGAGAAGTGAAACAAATTTCTGTGTCTGATATTGTTGTTGGTGACATTTGTCAGGTATATAAAATTGGTGTTAAATAATATTTTTAATGCTATTAGAATATAAATTTTCCAAACAATATTAAATATGTAATACAATCTGTTAACATTGGATATTTTGTGCGCCGACATTGTTAAATATTAATTTAGTAAACAAAAGTAAAATTTACATTAAATTATCTGTTTAATAATACAGATAAAATATGGAGACCTGTTGCCTGCAGACGGTATTCTTATACAAAGCAACGATCTCAAAGTGGATGAATCCAGTCTGACTGGAGAGTCAGATCATGTAAAGAAAGGGGAATCATTTGATCCTATGGTACTTTCAGGTAAGATTGCTTTTCTTCAATTAAATAGTTATTATGCTGGATTATTTTTCTAACGTAGGAAAAGTCTTTTAAAGTGTTTAAACAATTTTTATATGACAAAATTTTATCTGCAATGTATTGTATTGTTAAAAAGGTACACACGTAATGGAGGGTTCTGGAAAAATGTTAGTTACTGCAGTAGGTGTAAACTCCCAGGCGGGTATTATCTTTACTTTACTGGGTGCTGCTGTTGATCAACAGGAGCAAGAAATCAAGAAAATGAAAAAAGGTACGTCTAATTGTTATTGCTGATTGATCGATCAATCACTTTGAATGATTGCACATTTATACAGAGGTTACTAAATTTTTAGAGTAATTTGTAATTTTGATATATAATTATATATATATATATATATATATATATATATAATTTCTATGTATATAACATGTACTGTGTATATGTACATATATACATATACATATACAATACATGCTTCTCTCAAAGTTCCATTAGATTTTATCAGATTATTTTTGAGATTGATCCCACATTCGCTCTCTTTTCGCTCTGATGATTTAGTATACCTATCTCTACACTAACAACTTCTGAATCATTTAGTAAACTTTACTCTAAAAATTTTATTGAAGATTCAATACATGAATGCGTTATGATATGTTCATAGTAGCAAATATAGATTTTATGGCAATCTGTGCCTCGTAATAGAAGTTGTTGGTATATACTCTATCATATTCCCGCATGACATTTTCGAAATGTTTCAAAATGAGTGTAGACGATTCGCAGTGGACGCATGGTTTTGACGTGAATTGGTGTGATCTTTTTTTTTATTATGAATTTTACAACAGATCCATTTTTTTTCATTCCCCGTACTTTGTACTCTCGACATTGCATTTGCCAGACTAGATTTTATACTTTTATTAACTCATTAACTAATTGATTGTAAAGGATTTGCGTTTCGATTTGTCAATGTTTCCAGGATAGACACTTTTCATGTATTTTTAGAAAATATTCTACGTAAAACTGCCATGATACAGCAGTATGCATTATTTTATGGCAATTTCCCTCCATTGATAAGAAATTTTTCTTCTCGTTCTCTTGTTTACACGCAATGTAAAATAAAATAATACATGTAAAATAATATATTATAGACATTATATTGAATATTATAATAAGATGCGAGTTATACATTATGATATCTATATATTCGCGAATTATCCTTATATTAAAAATCTATTTACATATTTTATCAAAAATGTGCATTTATCAATATAATTTTTTCAAGGTACTATTATTTGATATCTTGCGTTTGTAAATCATTTATATTTTTGTCCCTCTCTCTCTAGCTATAAATGTTTTTGCTATATATAATGTTTTTTTTATCTTTGTCTGATATGTGTATATGAAATTTTATATTTGAAAATTTCAAGATTGATGAAGTTATTATCGTTATATAATCTCTTTCAAAATAATTTTGATAGGAATTGTCTTAAAAATCAGGTACTTTTTGTATCAAATCAAAAGCCGAAATTTTTGCCGTAAACATTCAACATATTTTAATAATATTCAATTCTAAAATTTTATTTACGTGATTAAATTTGTATAAAGGGAAAAGAATTATTTAATTGTAAAAATATTTTATAATTGCATTTCAAATTACACATTCACCAGAATCTTTTATTCCCTCTTTATCTCATACAATATTAAATAATGTTTTTTAATTTAATCTTAATTTATTCAATTTATTATTAATAGCTCACAGGAAAAGTACGTCATTTTTGGGACATTTTACACATTTTACAGAAAAATTATATCAAGATATCATAATTCCTTTCTTTGAGCCATATCCCCTTTATAAATCTTTCGTTATTACACAACCTAGAAGGTGAGAATTTGTATTTTATTGATGCGAATTATCCATAAAAATGCACTTTTAGAGTTACATTAGTGAGATTTTGATATATCATAGAAGCAATAGTTGCTTCTTTATGTTTGACCTTCTGGGCTGTACTTACCTATCTACCCATTTCCTTTTTTAGTGTTAAGTACCCTCTTGCGAAAATTAATGAAAAATGAAAAATAAATTATAATAACGAATTATAAATTCTTTTAATAACGCGATTTATTATACCATTGGCATATATATTTTTCAAATAGATTGCTAATCAATTTCATTTTGCATGTATTTTTTTATCTAGAGGCTAAAAAGCAGCGGAAGAAGAAGTCATTACCAGGTGAATAATTCTAAATAATATATATATATCTATATATATCTATATATATATATTTTTTCTTATTTTTATTATCTCGATATTCATATATAATTAAGCGTATATATACACATAGACTCGTGGCCAGAGTTTGAAGTCAAGAAATTAATTGATCGTTTTGAGTCCTCAAGACAGCATTCAGTTTTTTTAAACTTTCTCTCACTTCATCTCACTTTTTCATTTCTCTTCTGCATTTCGTTCGGGAATTTTCTTTTCTCTGTGTTTTTACTTCGATTAATTGTACCTATGAGTTTTACATTAATGTTACGTATCTCCAAAGCAATTTTTATCACACTCTCTTTCTCTCTCTGATAATGTTCGATTATAAAGTTTGATTTATCTTTTTTTTTTTTTTTCGTCGAATATGATTTAAAGGTATACTCTCGGACCTCGATATAGCGAAGAAATGACATTAATTTAAAATCGAGACGTGGAGCAGTGAGATTGGACGTTAAACGATTTATTAAAAGATTGCATTCTCTCGATACATCAAACGCTACATCTTGTGCCGAGAGCGTAAGAGAAGAAACAAAATTACATTATCCATGCTTTCGTGTTCCCTATTGATCTTTGCGTGTTCTATTGGCAGTGGTTTTTATGCATTTGACACGCATTAGCGGCTACCTCGTTCTTGCATATAGCTTCTTGTTTTCTGCATTCTAGTAATGATATATAAACACCCATGGTTTTAATCTGTGTTTCTCTAACATGTAACATTAACTGTTGTGTCTTTCACATTAATCTCAATCATCTCTCATTAAAACTTTTGGCTATCCACCAACTTGATGAGTAGCTTCTAGTATTTTATTAGAATGCTTTTGAGATAATTTATACATACTCGTTCTAAGTTTATAACGATCAAGATTCAATCGGCGTTGCGATCGATCAGCAACCTCTTGGCATGATCGAGATCTTGTTTGAGATGCGAGTCGAGATGCGATCGCTCGGGCCGATTGAGCCTCGATTGGCATATATAACGGCGGAGGATGCAATTTAATCTTGACGTGATAAATCAAGGGGAGGAACCGGTAGAGATTACCGGGAACAGTCACGTGACCGGAGGCGGAGGCGGCGGTAAACACGAGGGCGGCGAGAATCATCACGCAGCCCCACCCGCGAGCGCCGTGGAGAGCACCGGGAAGAAGGAGAAGAGTGTTCTGCAAGCCAAGCTAACTAAACTCGCCATACAGATCGGTTACGCCGGCTCGACCATCGCGGTACTCACCGTCGTCATTCTAATCATACAGTTCTGCGTGACGACCTTCGTCATCGACGGCAAGCCGTGGCGAAACACGTACGCCAATGATCTGGTGCGGCATCTGATCATCGGTGTCACGGTGCTCGTAGTCGCTGTACCCGAGGGTCTTCCCCTAGCCGTCACCTTGTCGCTCGCTTATTCCGTCAAGGTGAGATTCTGCCGAGATTTCGTTGTCAATTTTTTTTTTTTTTTTTTTTTTTTAATATTTATTTACCAATTCTTTTTCCCTCTCATTTTCTTCTCAAATCGCTTCTCGTTTTTCTCTCTGTTCACAGAAAATGATGAAGGACAACAATCTGGTACGTCATTTGGACGCCTGCGAGACTATGGGTAATGCCACCGCCATTTGTTCGGACAAGACCGGCACCTTGACTACGAACCGCATGACCGTGGTACAGTCGTACATATGCGAGAAGATGTGCAAGTCGACGCCGAATTTCTCGGATATACCGAGCCACATCGGCGAATTTATCATACAGGCCATCTCCATCAATTCGGCGTACACGTCGCGAATAATGGAGTCGCAGGACCCTACTGAATTGTCGTTGCAGGTCGGCAACAAAACCGAATGTGCCTTACTTGGATTCGTATTAGCCCTGGGCAAGAAATATCAAACCATACGGGACGATTATCCTGAGGAAACCTTTACGCGGGTGTATACGTTTAATAGCGTAAGAAAGAGCATGTCTACCGTAGTTCCCAGAAAGGGTGGTGGATATAGGCTCTTCACCAAGGGCGCTTCCGAGATCATCATGAAGAAGTACGTATAGTTTTCTCATTCTTTTTTTTACTTCAAACATTTATTGATATTGAAATTTCGAGCAAATCTTACCATTTTTATTCATTCTTTCATTTTTTTTTTATTTAAAACTTTCATGGCAAGATTCTTTAAAGTCTTTGAAAGATTTTATAGTAAAATACCGCTCAACAACCTTTTAGCTGTGAAAATTTTACCGTCAAATTTTTTCAAATTTTCTAAAAGATGAGAATCTATTGGGCTTTAATGTAATACTACTTGGAAATAATATTTCTTTTTTTGACTCTTATTTTAATTTCTTTTTCTAACTCAATTTGATGATTTGTTGCAGATGTGCCTTTATATATGGTCGCGAAGGTCATCTGGAGACATTTACCAGAGAGATGCAAGAGCGTCTGGTAAAGAACGTGATCGAACCCATGGCATGCAACGGACTGCGCACCATTTCCATCGCTTATCGCGACTTTGTTCCTGGCAAGGCGGAGATCAATCAAGTTCACATCGACAACGAGCCCAATTGGGACGACGAAGATAATCTAGTGAACAATCTCACCTGCTTGTGCATCGTCGGTATCGAAGATCCAGTGCGTCCCGAAGTACCGGACGCAATTCGGAAATGCCAAAAGGCCGGTATCACCGTGCGCATGGTGACGGGTGACAATATAAACACCGCGCGATCCATTGCGCTTAAGTGTGGCATTTTCAAGCCAAACGAGGACTTCCTCATTCTTGAGGGTAAGGAGTTTAATCGCAGAATTAGAGACAACCATGGCGAGGTACAACAGCACCTATTGGATAAGGTGTGGCCAAAATTGCGAGTACTGGCCAGGTCGTCGCCCACCGATAAGTATACCCTGGTAAAGGGCATCATCGATAGTAAATCGACTGAAAGTCGCGAGGTCGTAGCGGTTACCGGTGACGGCACGAACGATGGTCCAGCCTTGAAGAAAGCCGACGTCGGCTTCGCTATGGGCATCGCCGGCACAGACGTCGCCAAAGAAGCGTCCGACATCATACTGACGGACGATAACTTCTCGTCGATCGTGAAGGCGGTAATGTGGGGCAGAAACGTCTACGATAGCATCGCCAAGTTTCTCCAATTTCAATTAACGGTCAACGTCGTTGCCGTGATCGTCGCTTTCATCGGTGCTTGTGCCGTGCAGGACTCGCCGCTCAAGGCAGTACAGATGTTGTGGGTAAACCTAATTATGGACACGTTAGCGTCTCTCGCCTTGGCTACCGAAATGCCTACGCCCGATCTACTCCTCCGTAGACCGTACGGTCGCACAAAACCACTCATTTCCAGGACAATGATGAAAAATATTCTCGGTCAGGCCTTGTATCAGTTGAGCGTTATTTTCACGCTTCTTTTCGCCGGTGAGTATCGCTTCTCTCGACTCCCCCTCGATTTCTCATCAGTCCGTTTCGTCGAATAAACAGAACGTTTTAAAAACTTTCGCGATCGACTGTCGCAGGTGACCTGATGCTCGACATCGACACGGGTCGCGGAGTGGCAGCGGCGGGCGGCGGACCCACGCAACACTTCACCGTCATCTTTAACACATTCGTCATGATGACTCTTTTCAACGAATTCAACGCCAGGAAAATTCACGGTCAGCGCAATGTCTTCCAGGGAATATTCACCAACCCCATCTTCTATTCAATTTGGGTCGGCACGTGTTTATCGCAAGTAAGTCGCCCAAGATTATATTTATTCAATTTATATGCCATATGAGAATAATGTTGATGATATTAAACCTTCATCTACGATCAAACGTTCCGAATTTAAGTGAGCTTAAACGAGATGCAGTAAATTTATAATTAATTTTTCACTAACGAAATGCAAAACAACAGTTGGTAGTTTTTATGATTTAAACGCTGTCATTTTATGCTGCTATTTTTTCTTTCTAACAGAATCGTTTAATTCTTTTTAGGTGGTCATCATACAATACGGTAAAATGGCATTCAGCACCAGAGCGCTCACGTTAGACCAGTGGTTGTGGTGCCTGTTCTTCGGAATCGGTACGCTAATATGGGGCCAAATAGTTACGACTATTCCTACACGCCGAATTCCCAAAATTCTTTCGTAAGTTAAAATTACATACTCTTACACACGTAAACACGTTTTTTTTGTTTGTTCTTTGAGCACAAAACTGAGGTTTGTTGCAATAGAAAGAACACGAATGAAAAGATGATTGCTCACAATACTTTTTCTCTAAGAAGAAAACGATTCTTCCTAAAGTAGAAACGAAATCATTTTCATATTTGTATAATTTGTCAATTTTATCTTCAGTAAGGAAAATTTTTATTAACTAATTAATATTGAATAGATATACTTGATGATAGATAATACTTTTAAAAATATGTTAATCATGGAAATTCTTTTTTTCTTGTTTTATAATGTTTCTTGATTTATAAAAAGATCATTATGTAAAGGCATAAAAGATGAAAGGTCTTTTAATAAGTAAATAATCTTTTTATCACTTGATAATCATTGTGAATATTACCATCAACATATCGACATTGTGCTGAAATCAACGCTTAGAGTAACCAATTTTATATTTAACGATCTATTATCACAAAAACTTAGCATCTTAAGTTTTCGTTTCATTAGTGGTAGATGCCTTTGCATGCCGAATCTTGAACTCACTCGTGCCAATCTGTATATATACATACATATATATACACCACAGGACTAGTAACAATTTTATGTCGAATTTCCGAAGAATGTTGTCTCCCACTGTTGAAAACACGCGCGATTATTTTGCTTTGATCTATGATTGTGTGTGTGTGTGGAATCTTTGATATAAATTTGATATAAAATAACTGCAAAATTGTACATAAGATACGATTTAATATTCCTACATCAAAATATTGTATTAATTGAATCAAATCTATAATTGCACAAAAAATGTGTAATATATGTCTAATATATTATTTGGATATTCTTGTCAAAATGATATATACATATGAATAAATTAATTACAATTTTTTGCAATATTAATATAATTACAGTGTTTAAAAAGAAATCTCTTATGTTTGACGCACACAAACTTGTACAATAAAATAATACAATGTAAAATCATTTTATATATAAGTGATTTGTTTTGAAATTTGTTAAAATTACTTGAATTATCAGTGATCGCGTGCACATTTCTGCGATCGTGAATCATACATGGAATTGATCAAATAAAAATAATCGTGCGTGCTTAGGCGAATCCCATCCTGGGTATTCCATCCCTCGCTCCTACAATCTTGGAGTAGCTTACGTAACTTGGCCTTAAACGTTGCATGATTACAGCCGTACAATCGAAATCTACGTACTTGTTTGTGTCGAGTGACCGATGACGTGCGCTGTTGCACTAATCAAAATCTCTAATATTCAACGAGGCGGATTACAAAAAGGCGCGAGGGCGAAAGCTTAATTCAGTTTAATATAACGCCATTGATTAATTAATAATCAATTCCTATTTGCGTGAGAAACAATTTGAGCAATTAATTAATGCTTATTAACACACACACTTTTACTCGATTCGTTGGATTTATACGGTTTCTATCTCTCTACCTTTCCTTTTTTTTTTTTTTTTTTTTTCTGCCCAACCTTTTGCTATCTTTATCTCTGCCTATTTTTGTCTTTCTTCTTACTGTTCCCATTCGCTCTCTGTACTTTCTCGTCCATCATATATATAACACAATCCGAGGACACACGCTCTCATCCATAACTCTCATCCTTTTTTTTTTTCTGCTCGTCCGATCATCTCTCTAATCCAATTGAAACCGGTGTAAAATTTCGGTGAGATCAGTTTCCGATAGCATAAAAAATGCACACACATACACACACATGGAAGAGATATTTTCATTATCGGAGGAGAAAATATAAGGATGCCTCGTGTTTTACGACGCATCGAAATTCTTTGATTTTACAATCCCGATCATCGTGCTTGTACCACTCTTTTGCACATCATAATCTCTTCTCTTCTGTCTATTCTCTTTTTCTTCCTTCAAAGCTAATTCAGCTCCTAATTCTCAAAAGAAGCACGGCTCGATGCGTAGCCGCATACGAGAATCTCCCTCTCTCGGGAGGGAGGCGCAAGGGAAGATATATAATCTCGAGTCGAGAATATACACGCTTTTTGCCACTATACTCTCTGTATATACGCGAGTCGAGTACGCCACTATAAAATGCTACACGTGCGGAAGGGTCAGCTAACCAAAGGTTACAGGGAGTGTTCTCGCGCGAAGCTTTTATCGCCGAGTGTAGTACGTGCACCGCTTGATAACACAACGGGACCGCCCCGGTTATTCACTTTGTACAGCGTGTGCGTATGTGTGTATCTATATATATATATATATATATGTGTGTGTGTGTGTGTGTATGTGTGTGTGTGTGTGTGTGTGTGTGTGTGTGTGTGTGTGTGTGTGTGTATACCGTTTCGTAGGTGAACAAAATCCCGATACTTCCCTCGTACGTACATACATACGTTCATCGCGTCCTGCATCGCGCCAGGACGACAAAGACCGATGACGAACATTGTTAACTAACTGAGTCACATTGGTCCCTGATTACATATGTCGGTACATTATTCAACAGTTTTTTTTTAACGATATCTGAATCCGATGATATGTAATTTTCGACAGTTTATTGCTAAAAAATTTATTTTTTATTTTGTGACATTCCGAAAGACAAATTGCTCGGCCAAATAACTCCCTATACTCCATATGGAAAATTATCTGCCGGTAGATTTTGTCCAAACTTTACGATTTTATAGTTTATGTGACGCTGAATAAGTTTCAATAGAAGCTACAATAATAATTAGGCAATCATTTAGATTCTGTGGACGTGGTTGAGAGGGTTTTGGGAGCTTCGAATTGCAAATATCTCCACATGATGAATCTTGAATTGTTTTACTTGTTGAAACTAGAAAGTTGCAAATAGATAATTTTCGGAAAAGGTCTACAAAAAATAATCAACTGTTATGTTTTCTGCAGGCTAAATTGTAGCTTCTAAAGAGTTGTGATTTTTATTCAGTGTCACATAAATTTAAAAAATCCTAAAGTATTTGAACGAAATCTATCGGCAGACTTTCATAAAGAGAGTTCCTTTGGACTGATCCTCGACATACTATCATTATTTTGTTCGAGTATTATTCTCACACAAGCTACGAGCTTGCGTGCGACCCTATAAATAGCAACGATAGGCGACGCGTAGTCGCGATAGTACTGATTTTCGCGCTTGTATCGCTCAACAGGTAAGGAGAAAATCACTTTTTTTTTACATCAAGTCAGATCGACGATTTGACACAAAATTAACGATATATTCCGAACAAAACGAATTGATTTAAAGGTGATTTGCAGTAAAAAACCAACGAAACGGAAACACAACATTCCAACATTCTAAGCAAAGACGATCGCTTATCTAAGTGAACCGTACCTTTGTGCGGATTATATTAATTGCAAATCCAATCGTCGACTATGCTGAAGGAAAATGTGCAAAAATTGACTGCATCGAATGCAAAAATGCTCCATTTCTAACGAATTCTTGTCATTCTCGCGTGCATATATAATCTTGCGTTTCTTTACTGTCGATTGTAACGCTGAAATAAGCAGCAAAATTGCAGGAAAAGTTTCGCACCTCTAATCTGGCTTTACACTAACATTCTGTACTATATCACAGAGAATACACTTTCATATTCACATTATGCATTCCCTTTGTTGACTCATACATGCTGATTGTTCATTAATCAACTTGTTTGAAATAATTTTCGAAAACTGAAATAATTTTTCTCTTATTAGGAATGAATTCGAATCGATATCTTTTGTATTTAAAAGAAAATTAAGTATCTCTTGTGTGATAAAAAATTATTTCTCGAAATTTTTTATCATGAAAAAATTTATGTAAAATTAAGCGAAAGAACTGATCATTATTACCTATTTGCAAAATTCTCTAAAATGCAATTTTAATTGACCACAATTTCACATTTCTTGCAAATATGAAATATTGAGAGAAAATTATTTCAGTTTATTCCGAACTCCATCATGTACACCCCAACACTCCGCATCTTTTTTTCACATTTTTCGTAACATTATTAATATTCACCGAGTATATATTCATATATTTTCTCATGACACACCCGCACACGCGCTGTCATTAACTCGCCACTGCCTAGCTTTGTCACCATTATCGCAATTTTTTTTTTCTCAAATCATCACGCGTAGCGTTAGCGTGTCATAGTAGATTAGGGATTCTGCTAAGGAGCGAGGGGAAAACGGAAAACGGTGTTGGGTGGTGTGCAGTGCGCCGAGGAGGGAGAGCCGGCCGCAAAGAAACAAACAAAAAAAGAGGGAAAAATTAACTAACAGTTAGCACACCATTCTTTTCCATTCAGTTTTTTAACAGGAAGAAATCCGAGTGATGAAGAAATGGTTTCATGTTTTTTTCAAAAACAGATGGGGCCGCGGCCAGCCGGATGATATCGGCGCGATCAATCTAGGAGACGAGAAATTCGACCCAGACTCGGATAAAAAGCCGCGCGCAGGACAAATTCTATGGATCCGTGGTCTAACACGGCTACAGACACAGGTAACTATCCCTATCTCTCTCTCTCTTTCTCTCTCTCTTTCTTTCTCTCTCTCTCTCTCTCTCTATCTCTCTCATTCTCTCATTATCTCATCACTCAACAAAAATCAATATTCTCTCGATTCCTCTCTATCACGAATACAGAAATTAAACCCAACAAATCGCCTCCGGATCCAGCTTCGGGTTCAGGTGGCGAAACCACACACGGTTCTCTTTAACATTAAAACTTTTTATAGGACTCTTTCTTCTTTTTCTTTTTTTTCAACAGTGCGCGCGCTACGACTCAACGTTTACGTCCACGTTGAATGTATGCGCGCGTGCAATTATTATTACGTCTTATTATCGCTATTATATTATTACATATTTATATTATTACCTTACAGAATTCAATCCGAAACTACTGTTATTACTGCCTGCCATTACCATTATTATTACAATGACGACGTAACATTACATAACGAGACGAGCCGTTTCAGTTTTGGTGTTACCTTGGTTTGCATTTTCATTTGAGTTCCATCGCGTAAAGAGAGCCGCGGGCGTTTTTTTCATCGCATACCGACCGCAACAAAAAAAAAAAAAAACCAATAAAACCGACGACCGTGCGATAAAAGTGTCTCAACAGACGACTAAAGTCGATAGACCCGATCGTTAACCGACGACTCGAAAGAGAGCTCGCGGGAAACGATCGCTGAAGGAAGAGCAAAGAGCCACCGCGAATTTTCACACGACAACGAGACACTCGGTGCTCTCTCTCTCTCTATCTCTATCTGTCTATTTTTCTCTCTCTCTCTCTCTCTCTTTTTCTCTCTCTTTCTCTCTTTCAGAGACTCCAGACACTTGTGTCTTTACTCTAATTAGGTACCACATTCATGTACATATACATATGCATATGTAGACAGGCAAATTCAATCTTCATGTATAAGTCTTCGCCGATAAGATTAGGTCTAATCTCGATTAGGTCTTTATCTCGGGTAGGAAAGATCGATCTGCAGACATCGATCGATCGGTCGATCAGTCGCGATTAGGATGACAGAACCTAACGGAGAGAAACGACAAACAAGAGACGAGATAATGCGTTTAACGTAAAAACCTGAAAAACTCGTACGACTCGACCAGCGTCACTGATCGCGCATGCACGACTCTTCGACGAGAACGACGCACCGATAGGATTGACGCACACACACACATATATACACGTCAATACACACATAGAAATCTGCCACAGTAGACGCACAGATTGATGCTTGCTCTCCGCCCGTATGTCCCCTTTACGCGAATATCGGAGATGTGGGAGAGACAAAAGACAGTTGGATCGGATATTTTTTACCGTATAACTAGCACAAAGGGTCAGTCGACTCAAAGATAAATAATTTTTCTCGTATTTTAAAATATTAAAAAATTTTACTCTAAACATTCCTTCGTATCTTTTCTAATCTAAGAAACGTATTGGCACATGTCATGATACTATTCTGTATAAGACATGTATAAAACACAAGATGTTAAAAAATATAACGAATAACACGGGGGTTCCAAAATCGATTATTTATTTTATTGATTGATCTTTTTCATGCAAAACGTCCGTTTTACCTTCAAATGCGTTTTACCGTCTCTCCCTCGTCCCTTTTTTAAAGAAGATCGCGAGTGTCGTGACCAATACGTAGAAGAATCATCAGTATCGCCGGTTTGAGTCGATTAATATTATATACTTTCTGGGTCGACGAGCTTTCGACTTGAGCACGTATATATTACATTGCGTACACATACACACACACACATACACATACATATACTTATTTGTACGTTCATCTCTCTCCCGTACAGCTTGTATCCATAGTAGATTTCCACAGACAGCCAGAACCAACTTAGCAATGGTCCACGCAGTCCTCAGCCCCGATATATCTTTCTTTTTCACTCTCTTTCTCTCTATTTGTGTTTCTTCCCACTCTCCCTCCCCACGATCTTTCTCAATTTTTGCTCCCTCCATCACTTCTCACTCTTTCTTTACGCTGTCTATATATATATATATATATATATATATATATATATATATATATATATTTCCCGTCCTCGTGAAATTACATGTCGGACGCTTTCATTCACCCACTCGAGGTTTTTCTGAACCCCAAAAAGTGAGCACACACTCTTGTCTCCGAGTCTAATGATCGATGTCGTGTTTCGCCGATCGACAAACTCGGATATTCTCCCCCGCAGGGGTTTACCTTTTTTTTCTTTCAAACTGTTGTCGTGTTGAAGTATACCCCGTCCGTGTATCCCGTTTTGGATATCCGCAAACGACGTGAAAAGCAGGATGTTAAATCGATCTACCAGTATAGCACTCTGTAGCAACTTTCTTCGCTAAACTTTCCCTCTCACAGATATGTCTTTATACCGCTATATAACTTTCCTCATTCCACTGTTAAACGAGCCCGGTCCCTTGCGTAATGCAAAACACCGCGCGGAAACTCGCGACTAAAGTAGGTAGTCTTATGCATCTAGCGTATATCTAAATCCGCCTCTTACGGGACACGTAATTAGCCGGTGAAACGAACTTTGATTGTTACGCGTTTCAAGACCGAATAAAAGATTCATCCGCCCGCTATTGTCCTTAGCGGCCTTAGTTGCTGCCGTTTCTATCGATTTTACGTTGAAGCGGAAGACTCTACTGTCTAAGTTAAAGTAGACGTTGCCGAGAGAACGACATGGACATTTGTACATGGATATTATATATATATCTATTGATAGCATTGGGTTATATAAATCGCTTTATTATACCAGGTATTATGTAAATTACATGCATTTATTTCTTGCGCAATTAAAGAAGAATATGTAACATTTGCGACGATAAAATCACGAAACGATGATGTCAATTGGCGATCACAGTCTCATATATATATATATATATATATATATATATCATACGATGATTAGTATATTTCAGGATTAAAGATTGTGGTCCGTTTCTCGTCGAAGAATCCTTAAAACGTCCGATAACACTCTGTACGATGATTGCGCAGTGAAGTAGTAATTTTGTAGTAATGTCAAATATTTATTTATCTGTCTATCTATTTATCTATCTATATATCTATATCTATATCTATCTATATCTATTTATTTATCTATTTATCTGTCTATCACTTTGGCGACTCGGGCTGTAACGCGACAAAGATAACGACATCGCTGGTTCGTTGCAGCTGTTACAGCCGATGTGATAAAAAGCGGATGCACGAATTGCATACAACGTTGAATAAAAAATCAAAAAATTCTAGTCCAGCTAGAGAGAACTCGCGACACGTATTATTTCCTTTCTCTCTCTCTCTCTCTCTCTTCTCTCCCTCTCTCTCTCTATCTCTTTCTCTTTGTCTGTTCACCAATTTTTCTACTACTCTATATATATGTAGCTACACTTCATACTCTCTATTGTCTTTATATATTCTCTTTCTCTCTTATTTTCTGTGTAACTTCGTCTGTTTCGCACAGTCAACGGTCAATAAGTGTTCAATATCAATGAGAAGCACACATTAACATAAACGGCTTAATAAGACAAAATAAAAAAAAAAAAGAAAAAAAAACAAAACAGAAAATCGAAGAAACAGACAATATTAAGAAAAAAGACAAAAAATGTGATAAGACGACAAAAAGAAAATACAATACCATGGAATGTCACGTGAAACTAATGATGTAAAACTGGATGTGTCACCTACTTTCAGACGAGCAATAGAACTCTGGTGCAGAATGTATCTGTGACAGGCAGATCCCCTTCTCAGGATTACTACATGGTTAGTCCGCAAGTCCACTATCATCCGCAAGTTTGATCATTGTTTGACCGTGTTATAAATAATAATCTGATTAACCGTTTCTCTCTATATTTTTCTATACGTATATATTTTTATCAATTTTTTTTCTTCTGATATATATTCTAGTTTTTTTTTTTTTTTTACGACACTTCTCACTTTGGTCGATATGTATACTATGTATTATGATTTCCTACAAGCAGACCTTTCAGTTTGCCTTTTGTGTTCTCTATCTCTCTGTTTCTCTCTCTCTTTCTCTTTCTCTCTCTCTCTTTTTCTCTATTCTCTCTTCTACTATTCTGCTACTACTACTACTACTACTACTATTACTACTACTACTACTACTACTACTATTACTTATCTGTCTTTTTTACACACGTCTCACAATGTCTGCATTTTGTTTAACAAGTAAGTGCTTGCGGACTGCGAGTCTCGATTAATATTTTTCGCCCGTGTGCTTATTATATATATATTTATATATTATTACTACATGCGACACACCCATCTTTGTGGTTGATTTTAAATGATTCTCCACAAATTAAAAAAAAGAGCAAAAATCAATATATATATATATATATATATATATATATATATATATATATTGGCGATATATACATATATATCGATTTGCATTCGCCTTGCGGCAGCTAACAATAACGCTCCTGTTATTTTTTTCTCTTTTTTCTTGTATCACTATCTACTACCTGTCTCTGTGGATCCTGTGTCGCGGGATACGATCGCGCATATCCGATCGTGTATATTTTGCTTCTCCCGGTGTCACAATCCTCTGTATCTCTGTCAAGCGAGAACGCTTAAATATAATGGAGCGCATGATCGGTAAATACTACACGCTCCCGTTCACGACGTGACAACGAAACAACCAACCAACCAACCACCCCATGCGCGGTGTGGATTGGACCACACGCTATCGTTGTTGTTGTCGCAGCCCGCGAGAGACATATTGATGGCTTTGATGGCGTTCGATGGACGTTATTACGACCGTTTTGGCTGCCGTCATATGCTTTTCTCTCGATTGTCTCTCTCTCTCTCTCTCTCTCTCTCTCTCTCTCTCTCTCTCTCTCTCTCTCTCTCTCTCTCTCTCTCTCTCTCTTTCTCTCAACCGTACTTACACTTTACGTTCTTACGTGTCTCTTCTATTTTATTTTTCTTTCTTCTCTCTCTCTTTTTTTCCTCCTTACTCTTTCTTCTTTT